ATTTATTTTGTTATTTATTTTAGGAAGAGTCCTTCAATCTGTCAAATATATATAATATATATAAATAAATTCCATGAATTAAATAAATCGCATAAAAATAGCTAAAAATTGAAAGTGGGTTAAGCATGTTCTGTAATTATTGTCATGAGCATAGATAAAACTTTGTATAATAATAGAAAATATGTATGTCACGCGAAGTATATTTTTTGATCCTTTAAATGGCCATGTAATGTCGCATTTTATGTGAATACACATTCTTATCGATTTACCGTGCGCTAAGGATACAGATATACTATTAGTTCTGTCTTTCTCTTTTCCTGATGCACCCTCTTTATAAATGCCGAACGTGTCAGACTTGCACAGCCAGGCACCACAGGTGCTCGGCCCTCCAAAGCTAACTACTTTAGTCGCTCACGAATTATCAAACCGTGATGAACGCTCGTGAAAGACGATCGTATAAGCGATATTTTTACTTTTATAAAAGATGCCTTGACATTTTTATAAATAGATATTTTAATTTAAAATTTAATATGTGCTAAAAAATTAAAATAATTTAAAAACTTTGGAAATGGTGCAAAATGATTGAAGATTGAAAGAGAAGTTAATACGCTTCCTGACTTTGTTGTGGACAGGAACTTGTAACGGAAGCTGAAAAACTTAAACCTGAAACGGAAGAAGTGAAGAGTTTGGCAGGACCTGTACTTGCATATCTCGCAGCGTTTACGGAAGCACCGGCACGAAATCTTGAGGAACGCCTTGAGAAACTACAAAAATCCGTCGAATCGTGAGTCAAAGTGTATTTTGCTTTTATATCTGCTCAGAATATGGACCAGCACCGCCTCACGTAATCGCTAGCCAACTAAGTCAATTCAATATTATCTTATCGTTAATTAACATAGGTAGTTAAGTGAAAAACACTTTTATAAATAGACTAATGTAAAAATATAATATAAAAATAATAGAATATAACTTTAATAATTAATATTTATTCCATGTATTCTAGCAAAAATATAGCAATATTGGCATTTCATATAGCATTCCGGATTAATAAAATTTTACTTTTTCGAGTTTTAATATCACGGTTATATTTTTATTATTATTTAATACGAATAATAAAATTGAAAATATTTGTAATCATAAAAATTTAATTAAAAAATATTAAAAAATTTAATTTTACAACATTTTTTGTATTTGTCTTATTATAATACTTTATAAGTTTTATAATAGCTTATTGATCTTTGGGCTGGCAATAAAAGGTGCTATTTAGGTCCTTCTACGAGCAGATTTGCATGTGCATGTATAAATGTGCATTTGAAGCTTCTGCTTATATGTTCCCTTTTCCTAAGACATATATATTTTCTATTTCAGCAATTCTATGTTTCATCAGTATATTTGTACTGATGTAATCAGTATTTTTAGTATTCTTTTCAGGTGATCATATCATTTTAATTTTTTGCATTAGCATATTGGTATGTTAATTAAAAATAATATAATTAATGCAAGGTACCTGTTCTTTTAATTTTGATATTTAGGGGAAGATTTTGAGATTTCATAAGATCACGTTTTTTAAGAAATAGAAATACCGCCGAGGCGCGAATGTGCCGCAATTTGAATAAAAGTTTTTAAGACTGTTATCCTACTACGACGCATCCAAATCATTGCCAAAACACTGCGCTAGCAATTGACTTTTCGGTCACAATGTCAGTAGTGAAACAGTTGGTCAATGTGAACAAGGAAACTAAAATACTTGTAAAACGATAGTGCAATTATTTCAAAACGAAATATTATAACATATCACGAATCAACGACAAAGATTATTTATTATTTACCTAAAACTGTGAAAGAATGACAGTGACAAACAATTTTGTGAAAGTTATTAAGATAAATTAAAATTTTCATATTATTTCCAATTATGTCTTTCCAAATTGAGCTGTTACACAGTAACAGTCAATTGTGATAAACTTCTCCGACAAATTTCCGATCATTATTCGTCATGCTTGTACTCCAATTAACGATTACATAATGATGCGTAAAAATTACAAATCAAATACGTAATAATAGTTACGACGCAATGTGAGTGCTGATCCAAATTCGACATAATGCGACTAGCGCCACACAAAATGGAGTATAAATAGTACGTAAATATAAATATAGTTTGCAGACATTCTCATATATTAGATCTAATACATATATCCCAGGATTTAATAGATTATTTTTCATGTATAATTCTTTGACTAACGTAGAATTAATTTTATTCTGTCGAAAATATTAAGAAAAGACAAACGAAACATTTACTTATATCACTTACACAACGTTCCAATTTTTAAACATTTATGCAATTAAGCAGACTTCTTTAATCAGACTTTTTAATTATCGATAAAGAAATTCAACAATGAATTAGATTTTACTATCCATTTGTATTACCAAAATTTAATTTTAAAAATCTTTCATTTTCTTTATCGTTGGTAATTTAAGAGCCGTTGGTCTCCCACAACGTTTTTTTGTTACGAAAAAGACACTAGCTTGTGAAATTAAATAAATCGCGATCGCGCTTTTTTTTCAATATATTTGCGAAAGTTAGTCACGCACGCGCACATACAATCGACATTTAGCCGTGATCGCCGATATTCATCGATTCATCATCGCTTCATTAGCGCTACGTCACCACTAAATTTGTCATATGACGTAACACGGACTGTATAACACCGTATAAACACTCGATATAAGACAGCTGAGGAAGGTCGATATGCGTTCCCAAAGGGGAAACGTGTACATGGCCCCTACCATACTTTTTGTCGCCCGTAGTAGTATCACCCAGCGTCAGTTCATTCAGTCATCATCGTACCGGCATCGACGACGTGTTGCGCACGATGCTAAAAATTCTACTTTTCGTTGGATCTTTCTGCAGACGCATTATCGACGCTGATTACGTGTTTAAGTGCTCGCGTTTAAGCACTCGCGGATAACGCCGGCGTACGACGTTTTGACGTTTTGCCAGGTGGCGGATTGTCATCGGGCATGACGTCTCGTCTCAATGTATTTACATCCGATTCCGCACGTGTTGTCAATGATGGGAGTGGCATAATTATCATTTGCACGCGGAACGTAACACACAACAAATGAAAAACTCTGGTGAATACTAACACTTGGACGGATATGAGCTTACGTTTTGGGAGACACGCTCTTCCGAGGTATGATATTTACGGGATTTTTTTTTCTTTCTTTTTAGCTTCCGTTAAATATCGACAGGAAAAAGAGACGATCATATTAATTCGATGGGGATATATCTGGATAACGTCCTCCAATCGCGACTTCATCAAAACGATTACTTAAACTTGCGAAACCTCGTCTCTCGTATGGCGCAAACGTCGTAGTTTCGCATGCGCACAAAGCGAAACGAACTATATTAGCACGATATCGACATACGTGTATCGCACGCAGAATCAGAGATAAATTTCAATCAAAAGAAATTTAAATTGGAGATGAGGACACTTGAATTTATATTATATTTTCATATTTTGCGTGTCATTGGTAAAATTCAATTTTTTGCAAATTTTATAAAGTACTGTTCTATAATTGACTTTTTTTTTTCCTATAATTAACGATATACGAAAATATAATGAAAAGTATAGCAGAAATAAGAAGAAAAAAAGAAGATCACATATAGATTTGCATAGAGATTTTTTAATGCTCTATATCTACATACCTTAATGTGTAGTGTCATCGATACGTAGTTCGCTGGCCGATCATAGGATGCGTCCGACGCTAATTAAATCTTCGTTAAATATAGATTAGACATCGTCTGAAATAAAATCAAACGTTGCATCTTACATACTGTATTATACAAACAAGACATAATATCACACACACATATGTATTTATGATTCATGATGCAATAGGATACATCATAATAGTCGGCACGCGACTCCGGCAAATTTTGCGCGTTAAAACGTGTAAGTTGAAACAAAATTTATTAATTTTTTATCAACATCAATTATCTGAAATGATAGAAAGATAAAATATTTTTGACAAAATTCTTACAATTAGACGCAACTAAATTTCGTAATCTTTGTCATACGAATATTGCTATGGAATTTTTCTAATTAAACTTATAGTAATAAATAATATTAATATATTCTTTTTAATAATCGATATATTTAATGATAAATTTTCTAT